GTCAAAAGAAGTTTGTCAAAAGAAGTTAGTTATTTTATCAAAACTCAGATTCGCTGTACATAGTTGTTGTCACATATTCTTCAATTCATCCATCTGCCCTTTTCACAGCAATTTAAAGAGCCTGACTTGATCCAGCCTCTGCAGTGGCCTCTCAATACGACATTTCCTCTAATCTTCCATCAGTTTATCTACTTCTTTGCGACGAAGGAAAACCGCAGCATTTTTATGCTGAACCCTTTGAAATATATCAGGCAGCCAAAGCCCTTCACATTGCTCCCTGTTAAAATAGCTATTCTTGGACCACCCAAATCTGGGAAAACCACTGGTAAGACAAAGTTTATTTTTTTCTTTCACATTTTCTCTGAGGCGTTCCGTTCTCTCACCATGCTTTATCTCTCTAGTGGCACAGATGTTTGCTAAGAAATATGGTTTGGCCCGACTGTCCATTGGTGGGGTTATGCGTGAGGTGCTTAATACACAGGAGAACACTGATCTGGCTGTCCAGATGAAAAGATATCTGTCCCAGGGACTTGTTGTGCCTGATGAACTTGCCATTCAGTGTCTGGAGGTGGCACTCATGAGCTCAGTCTGCAGCACCAGAGGGTAAGCTGGTGGTATTTGATATACATTTATAATTCAAAAAAATGTAAGTAACTTCCATGTGATTTTTGTGTCTAAAAACAAAGATAACATTTTTATATATGACTACCAAGAAATCTGTAGATACAGTACTATGATCTTTTATCTCGCTTCTGAAGACAATAGTCTCTATGTTGTGATTCCAGGTATGTGTTGGATGGCTTTCCAAAGACATTAAAGCAGGCAGAGCTGATGAGGTCAAAGAGCATCATTCCCATGACAGCAGTTGAGCTGGAGCTGGACACAGTGGAGGTGCTAAAGAGAGGCCTCTTGGACAAGATGAAGCCTAACAAGTCAGAGAACGTCAAAATGAACTTTAAATTTCTGTTTAGTTTTCCAAGAATGATAAGTCAAAGAGCTGTTTTCTTTAGGAAATTATAATAAAATGTATCCTCTCTCCTCCAAATGAAGGCCTCATGTTATGCATGACAGCTCTGAGATCCTCCACATTCGTAACTCCTGTTACAAGGAGGAGATGGAGCATGTGAGGCAACACTTCCAGCAACAATATCAGAACCTGATCCTGCTGGATGGTTCAAAGAGCCAATGGTGGATCTGGAACAACATTTTAAAGGAGACTAGCATCAACATGAAATGTATCCACAACTTCTTGGAGAGGATACAAAGAGGTAAGTACTGAACGCTTAATCCGTATTCAGCACAGCAAAAATAACATTTCAAGCCCTGTATCCATTGAAGACTGTCATCTAAAAGGATGCATCTTATCTTTATAGTGCATTAAATCCCATCCCTAAATATCAGTATGCAAAATTATAAAAGCATCCACAGAAATGAAAGACAACGACCAAAACAAAAAAATGGAAGAGAAATAATGTTTTTTTAAAGGGAAAAAAATAATTAATAAATAAATGTATTGTTAAAAACAGGTAATTTGAGTAATAAATCAAATAATTGTGAAACATGCAAAGGATGATATGAAAGAGTCTATATCTACCCCTTATTTTCTTAATTTTGCAGGACAATCAGCTTGTATCAACAGACTATGTGTCACACCCACGGAGCTGCAGAATCGACTTGGAGAGTTTGGCCAGTACTGCCCTGTCTGCCTGGCTCTACATCTCCACCTAGTGGACTGCTCAGAAATTGCAGCTTTAACTCATGCGGTGCAGTACAGGGAACACTATTACAAAATGTGTGGCGAAGACCATTTACAGGTCAGTGTACTGCATCTGCACTTTAGAGGAGACATTATATATTGATGGTCAGAGGTAACCCGATTTTTGACTTGGATGTATCATATAAATGATGTTATAATGTGCTAATTCGATAGAGATTCCTGACCAGTCCGGATCAATTTGTGACTCCTGGCTGCCCACACACTCTCCCACAACCCCACCTGCTGCCACAAAAGCTAACAGAGACTCAGGTGAAGAACAGGTTTCCACAGCAAGTTGAAATGAAGGGCTTCTGTCCGGTCACTTATCTGGAAGGAAAGCAAAGGTAAATATTAATCTCTGTAAAAGTTCAAAAAGAGCTATAGCTATATCCCACTAGATGTTCTCCTGAATTTCCAAAGTGAATTCTGATTTGAACTGGTGGTGAGTTGGACCAGATGGCGGGGAAGGCTGCCGGACAGACCTGGCAAACCCAAACGTGTAGTGCGGGTGAACTGGGAACATCTGGCAAAGGCCCCTGTCCGTGGGGTCTTCAACTCCCACCTCCAGAAGAACTTCTCCCTCATCCTGGTGGAGGTTGGGGACATGGGGTCCGAGTGGTCCATGTTCAAAGCCTCCATTGTTGAAGCTGCGGCTAGGAGTTGCGGCCAGAAGACCGTCGGTGCCTGTCGTGGCGGCAACCTTAGAACCCACTGGTGGACACCAGCGGTGAAGGAAGCCGTCAGGCTGAAGAAGGAGGCCTTTCAGGCTTGGTTAGGGTCGGCAAAGCTCTCGATTTACTGGTCGATCTACGTTTCAACCCTCACCTATGGTCATGAGCTATGGGTAGTGACCGAAAGAATAAGATCGCAGCCGATCAAGCAGCCGAAATGAGCTTCCTCCGGAGGGTGGCTGGGCTCAGCCTTAGAGATAGGGTGAGGAGCTTGGGCATTCGGGGTGAGCTCGGAGTAGAGCCGCTGCTCCTCCGCACCGAAAGGAGCCAGTTGAGGTGGTTCTAGCATCTGCTAAGGATGCCTCCTGGACGCCTCCCTTTAGAGGTTTTCCAGGTACGGCCAACTGGGAGGAGACCCCGGGGCAGACCCAGAATGCGCTGGAGGGATTAAATATCCCGTCTAGCCTGGGAACGCCTCAGAATCCCCCAGGAGGAGCTGGAAAACGTTGCTGGGGAGAGGAAAGTCTGGGTTGACTTATCGCGCCTGCTGCCACCGCGACCCGACCTCGGATAAGCGGAAGAAAATGGGATGGGATGGGATGGGGACTTTTGGAGTCAAATCTTAGGACTACATTTTCTAAGCCATAAAGATCCAAAACAAAGGGATTAAAATATATATATAATATTATTATAAATATATATGTATTTATAATAATATTATTAAGATAAGATGATGAGGACTGGGAACTATTCAAATGATCTGATCATTTTAAAGAAACCAAATCACATTTTATAACTAATGTGTTTTAATGGGGCAGTGTGGTTTGGATACATGTTTGGCATACATTCACTTTAGTTCTATATTAATTTATTTTTCATTTATGGGGGGAAAAACTATTTCGGTCACTCAACCATGCCCTTTTCACTAGATTATAGAGCCCTTTAAAAGCTCAATTTAAAAGCACTTAGCTAACATCAAGAAAATAATGAAGGAAATTAAGAATTCAAAGCAAAGACTGAGAAAAAAGTGGCATCATCGACTCCAGTACTGAATCCAAAGAATTACACACTATTTGCCAGCTCAAATAGAACAAACATATTAGATATTCATTTCTTTTTCTGTAGGTATGAAGCCCTGGTTCGTGGTAAGATGGAGTTTGCTGTGGAATACAAAGAACGGATCTACATTTTTGAAACAAAGCAGAAACAGGAAAAGTTTGTAAGGTGAAGAGCTATTTAATTCATTCTTCAGAAATGTGTAATGTTTAGTTATGCTTTCTGCAAAGTGTATTCAGTTGTGCAAATAAAAAGTATTTAAACATCCACTGCTTTTAATTAAAGATAGCAGCATTATATTGCCATGATACGTTCTAGTCTAATGTGTAAAGGTGGTTGCTGGTTTGTTTTCAAGGACTCCTGAAACCTTCTGCGACCAAAAGCTGCCAAGTAAAGTCCCTCCTCTTTGTGAGCCTGTACCCCTCACCTCCCTGCCCACACTGGGCTACCTGGAGCAGGTCAGACACTAAAACACACCTGAGAACATCATGGTAGTCAGTGATAATCTTGTGTGTGCATATTTCATAATATCATCATTCACGTATAGGTTTTTCAGGTCTGTAAGGCTTTTGTATTTTTCAGGGTCTTGGGGTTGCAGTCATCAAGGCTATGACAGCTGTTGGGTGTCTAAAACCAAAGTATCCTTTCCTAAGTATCCAAAGATCAGCCCTCCAATATGTGGCCTTCTATCTGAAAGGTAGGGAAGATGTCATTATCAAACAGAACCATTATGTTGAATTGGAAAAACTTAATAAGGATGATTATTAGGATGTTTAGTGCTTTATTTATGTTTACTTAAATAAAATATTATCCCACTTATCAGTAGTTTCTCATATTTTAACAGCTTTCAATCACAAGAGCACAGCCTACACCCGCCAGAAGTACAAAAAGAAGCTGGCCTTGTTTGAGGAGAACTGCGAGCTTATTCCCTACCTAAGCTCAACAATGAGGAGGAACTACAAGCCCCTACGTGAACATCCTATTGACTTTGAGTTCAAACTTAACCGTTTTTTGGCCTTGGGAAACATGTCAGGTGCCAACAGTGTTCTGTAGTTGTGTTGAAACTTTGACTTTCACTATTTTGTGTGGAGAATTGTGTAACAAAAAAAAGAATTTGAAAGTGGTGTGAGTTTATTATTTCAAGAGTTACATGTAATAAAATATTTTTCAGGTTTTTTGGGTTATTACTTACTTTTTGGATGTCTTATTTATTTATGTTGGACACTACATTTTGTGCACTCAGAATAAAAGCACTGCACGTCCGTCCTGTTGCTATGACAACAGTGTGTTGGCAATATGACCGACACTGCTCCGTTACTTTTTTACTGCATGTTTTATATTTGAGATAGTTTGTTTACCCCAATAGACACGGAGCAAAGAGGATGTGGGTACAAGACACGATCCATGTTGAAAACATCTGGAAAAAAAAGACGCTGGCACTGAGAAAAAAAACGCCTAAAAAAGCTTATTAAAATTCCCTCATCGGTGGAATGACAGTCTCGCATATCCACGCGAGACTTCAGGAGGAAACAGGGCGCGAATTCGAGAAGAGGTCCTGTTGTCCTCCCCATACTGCTGTTCTGCAGCCCTGTGAGTGTTTACCGCTTACTCCTGAAGGTAAGCAGTCACACCACACAAGCTTTACATGCCAATTCTTGCAATATGTGGTGCCGAAGTGAATCAGAACGCAGCTAAACGTCCAGCTAAATTGTTGTTTAAGGATTAGCATGTAGCGTTAGTTAGCCGGATATGGCTAAGTTTTGACGTAACTAGCTAACGTAACTTTTGCCACTTCTTTTGGTTTCTTCTCGGCAAACTATTCCACTAAAGCCATGGCACTTACACACTTAACGAAACCCAGTTGTGACTGTCATTTTATCTGCTAAAAAAAAAAAACCTGGTGTCAGCTCATGTTTGAGGCTTTTAAGCTACGCGGCATTTCCTTTCAGTTTCATTTTCCTCGTTCAAGAAGTCGTTTGGGTGCAAAGATGTCCAAAAGGAAAAGTAGCTCCGCCAGTGACAAACCCCACAAAAGGATAAGACCTGAGGAAAAGGAGAAGATGAAGAAGAAGAAGGAGAAGAAGAAGAGAAGGGAGATGGTAATGTAAATCACAGTGATGAGGAAGATGATCTACTGAGCGAACAGGTTTGTACGATGTAAAAAAAAAATTAAATACAGCCTATTCTTAAGACCCAATTAATAACACCTGATTCTTATATATAACTTATCTTTAGATGCCAAAAGCTGGTGAGGTGGTGAGCGATGCAGGGATCGTGGAGAGCATCACTCTGAAGAACTTCATGTGCCACTCTAACCTCGGACCATTCACCTTTGGTCCCAATGTCAACTTTGTTGTGGGCAATAATGGAAGTTAGTAATGCTACTTCACCATCTGTGTGAGAGAGATTGGAGCATTACTGAAGTATCTCTTTTTAAACATGTTTCTTACTTTAGAAACTAGGTGAACTGAAAGTTTGTGCTTATTATTATAACTGATACTTTTACAATTATTTCTATCTTGAGCCCCCAATAACTCTGTAACAATCTAATGGCCAGACTAAAAGGTAGCAACACTGCAGAATAGACAGGTCACATGGCCTTTGTCAACACAAAGATTAGCAGTATTTTTGATCAATAGCATTCATGCAACAGCCTAACTACAAACGGTGACATCACGTAAATTGTTGTGATTAATCACTAAATTTTCAATAGTTGATTACGATTAATCACGTTTTTAATCGCTTGTTTGAAATTCCATTATTTCGCATCTAAAAATAAAAATTGTTAGGCTTGTAAAGTCTGTCTTAAACTGAGAGTACTCAACTTGTTTGAATTTAACCCTGCTTTTATTTTGACAAAGTAAGGGCCTTCTGATTGATCAAGGGTTACAACATTTACTTAAACACAGAAAAAGGAACTTGTGACGGATCCAAAACTGAATGAAAACAGGTCAAGGGGACGGCAATAAAATAAACCGATCAGTGATAGAAACTAGCTTTAAGTTTTGCATTTACATTTAGCAGAACTAGTCCTTTAAAACTCTGAGATGATCATTTGTAATGGCTTTGACCTCTACCATGTGATGATGTTAATCTAAGATGGGTCTTTGCTATATGTTTACATCATGAATGGAGTAACCCGATCTCTGTAATCTTTTTTGTTTAGCTTATTTTGATCGTCCTTCCTGTGCTATGTGCTTCTATGATAGGTGGAAAGAGTGCTGTTCTGACGGCTCTCATAGTTGCCCTCGGCGGGAATGCACAGGCCACAAACAGAGGATTATCCCTCAAGGGTTTTGTGAAGCAAGGAGAAAGGTTAGCACTGCACCGTATCATGGCAGGTTCTTGTGTTTTATACTCATTCTGATACAGGATAGGTTTCCATTGCCTGTCAGTTAGGTATAACTCATTTAATATTTTTGGTTACTTCTTATCTTTTTTGTCTTTTTACTTCTAAAGAAATCAAAGCTGTGATCTTTTTAGGTATCTCACGAGAAGGTAAAAGTTCAAAATATTACTCTGTTTTCTCAGCTCGGCGGATGTGTCAATCACCCTGCGTAATAAAGGAAGGGATGCGTACAAACCTGAAGTGTACGGTCCAGCCATCATTTTGGACCTGAGGATAACACGAGAAGGATTGAGAACTTATAAACTCAGAGCCAAATCAGGTAAAGACTGTGAAGTAAATAGAAACCGACGAGCGGGACAAAAATGCAAAGGATTGATAAACATGTTTCTTTTTCACTCAGGTCAACTTGTCTCAAACAAAAAGGAGGAGCTCCTGTCCATCCTGGACAATTTTAATATACAGGTATGGGCTATGCAAGTCTTGCAAACAACAACAATGGTTGAACCGTGCTGTAACAAAATGTAATCCTGTGTGATACGTTTGTTTCACTGTTTTCTCTTAAAGGTCAACAATCCTGTGTCTGTTCTCACACAAGAGATGAGCAAATACTTCCTGCACTCCAAAGGAGAGGGCGATAAATATAAGGTCATTAAATGTGACTTCATATTTTTTCACATTTGTATGTTGCTTTGTGTATTTTGAATTACAACCGATCTTCTTCTTACACACTCTGATTTTTTGTTCCATTCCTCATGCAGTTTTTTATGAAGGCTACCCAACTTGAGCAGATGCGAGAGGACTATGTCTACATCAAAGCCACCAAGCATGTCACAGAGGAAAAAGTTCAGCAACATAGTGAAGTAAGAATCGGTTTGCTAGAAATATAAACGTCATCTGTAGTTCAGCAAAGTATTGTGTGAGCTAAATGAGCTTATCAATTTAGTATTAAGAGAAGTTTACATCTCTGCTCGCCTCTACATGACTCAAAATTCAGTTTTTTTCTTACTCATTTTCTTCCAGGTCATACATTTTCTGTTTTGATTCACTTAAACCTACAACTCAATAAGCAGACGCTTTCTTCTAAAGCCACGCACACCTGGGACTAAGTACAACATACGCAAGGATCTAGAGAACCAGTGTAAACCAGTGTCATATGTCGTTTTCTGACATGCTCTACTGGAAATGTAACAAATAAGAATCAGGACAGCCTGGCCCTGAAATGTAACCGAGTTGCTTGTTCACATATGTCACTTACAGTGTGAAAGGGGTCTTGGAATGCGAAATAGCCGGCAAAGCGACAGAGTCTGACACGATAATGACAGTTTTTTGCCTCTATGTCAATGCTCTGTGTAATTAGACTTTTTAAAGGTATCAACCAATGAGTAGCGAAGCAGAGAAGAGCATGCAGCAGCTTTATGACATGAATATCAATCTCATCAGTTGGCACGAGTTGCGTGACATAAATATCATCACTTGAATATATCCTACCAAATGTGTTGAATGTATGACTGTTTCAGTGCTTGAAAGACTTGAAGAGGAAGTACCTGGAGAAGGAGGAACGTTATAATAGCCTGGCTTCACTAGATGAAATGCAAACCAAGCTGGAGGAGCTGCAGAAGCAAATGGCGTGGGCTTTGGTAAGGACCTTTTTTCCCCCTTTTTGTTCTGCCTTTGTTTTGTCCCAACCTTTTTCACCCATGTCCTCATGTCCCAATTTAACTGGAGCTGTGCCGCACTTACTTAGAAGATCAGTACTCCAGATATCAACCGTGGCTCTTACAAATTGCAGGTTGCTGAGTTGGAGAAGGATACAAAACCCATGAAGGAGAAGCTGCAGTCAGACCGGCGTGATACAGAGAAATATGACCAGAAGGTGGATGAATGGAAGGTAAGATACCTGTGGCATATTAACCATGAAATCAAAAGTATAAAACTCAATAATGCATTCAAGTGTTTGCTCACACCACCTCTTTGCATTTGTCTATGATTAGCTCTCTTTTGTGCCCCTTCCCTTAAACCTCTGCACTCCTCTGCTCTGTTTGAATGTTATAATGCAGAAAAAGGTCAAGGAGGCTGAAGAGAAGCACAAGCAGATCCAGGAACAGTTGGAGGGAATCACTCAGCAAGTCCAAGAGCTACAGCCGAAAAGTTCTGAGCTCAAGGCCGAGGTCCAGCGACAAAACACGCGCCTGAACGGCAGCGAGGTCAGACTTCTGACAATGCATTACTCAGGCTGTGATTAATGACATAAACTTTAACTGTAACTTTCATAAAAGGGATTTTAAGTTAAGTAATGTTGGCCAAGGGAACTCAGTGGAGAGATGTGACATTTTTAGATAAGTTAACTCTGATACAATGTCCAGTGGCATATGAGGCTTTGTTTACACTACTGAATGGTGTCAACAGCTACAAGGGTTATCAGATGTATTGGACAAATTTGTGGCTCTGAACATTTAAGAGGGTTTACAATACATAAATAATAATCATTTAACACAATGACAATAATTTGTATTAATTAATTATATATTGAATACATCTCAACTCACCTTTTATGTATTTTTAATTGAAGATGATCTTTTTTAGGATGCTTGTTCTCTAAAATGATGCTAACACGTGTTTCTCATGTTGAATTCCTCTGAGCTAGGTCACTGTCCACAGATGTAAGGCTAACCTGAGGGACCTGGAAAAGGACAAGGTCCAACTGTCCTCAAGGTTAAATGATCTAAAGCTAAGGTGCGTCGTCATCTTATTATAACATCTAATGAGCTCCATTCGTTTTTTTTCTTGACTCTCCTGTGCTTTTAGTACTTCTTCAAATATTTGTAGTACAGTCATTCTTTTTTACATCCCTATAGTATCAGTCAGACGACAGGAGCAGAGAGCCAGGCCAGGACTGAGCGTGTGCAGAAGATCCAGGCTGAGCTGGAGAACCTGACACACCACATCTCCACACTGGGCCAGCAGATTGACCAATACAGTCACGCCAGCAGCCGTGCCAAGGAAGAACAAGGAAAGATGAGGTAAGAACAAAAGAGACTGGGCAATGACAATCAATATCAATCACACATGCATATCCACAAATTGGTTCAAGGTGTTGCTGTGCCTCGCAGTAAGTTCAGAAGACAAGCCGACACATTTTGAGGGTTAGTGGACAAGAAGAGGAAATCATTTGTAACGGTACAACGTGTGAACACATCGTTCAATAAATTAAAGAACACAGGATTCCCTCGACTTTAAGTTCAGACTAGTGTAAACCTTTTTTTGATGTCCTCCAGTTGTAGGTGGACAATTCTTCAATAAAATAATCGACCTCACTAAAGACCATTGATGGGGCTTTAGGATAAAAGTGGAATTACAGTGGAAAATTGAAACAGCCTCTAACATAATAAAACATCGACCTCCTTCTGTTTTCAGGAGAGAGCTTGATGTGCTCCAGAGGTCCATCGAGGTCAACAAAAGGAACCTGCAGACTATGGAGAGCAGCCGATCTAATCGCCTGAGGCGTTTTGGAGAGCACGTGCCTGCACTCTTAAACGCCATCGAGGAAGCTCACAAAAGGGGCAAGTTCAAGCAGAGGCCCCGGGGACCTCTGGGTAAGACTTGATGTCTAGTTGTGCATCTTTTATGTCCTACCAGCTAGAGTGACATCTGTGACCAAAAGGCTTTTCTTAACTCCCCCCTCGCAGGTTTCCTTATCAGCCTGAAGGACCCTGAGCTGGCTCTGGCTGTAGAGGTCTGTCTTAAAAGCCAGCTGTTGGCCTTCACTTGTGACAACCACGAGGATGAGAAGGTGCTGCAGGGCCTGATGAGCAAAGTGTTCCCACCTGGCCGTAGACCTGCCATCATCACCAGCACCTTTCTCAAAAACTTCCACGATACAAGAAGAAGGTGAGGACATGCAAAACATACACAGAAACATGCATTACAGTCTCATAGTCAATTTTAGATTTGAAAAAGGAAATATGATTGAAGCATAGCTGAAAAATGTATACTTAACTTAGTTACAAGTGAAACGATCAAATGTTTCACTAAGGTTAAACTAACACTGCTACTTGCTTTATCAGGACGATAGATCCATTAAAGCAACAAATAGTTTTCAGCCATGTTTGTGGAACACACATCAGCGTGCAGAAATTCATTAAGCTGCAAGAGTGGTGTGAGAATGTTTTGGTTACTTTTCTCCTTTATTCTGTTGTGACAGCTTGATGTTATAATACATGTATCAAAGTAAAAAAACAGTGGAGTCTATGATTTAAATCTGAAAGGACACGTTTCAGTAAAAATACATTATGTATTTTACTAGTATTGCATCTCAGTATTAAAAAGCCTGACATTTTTCAATCAATGGTACCTGTTTGAATTTGATCAACAATGGTCTTCTATTCCTATGGTTCTATTTTGTCTTTGTGTCAGGGCTGTGAATCACCCTGACTACCCCTCCGTGCTTCAAGCTCTAGAAATGGAAGACCCTGTGGTGGCCAACTGCCTGATTGATCAGCGAAATATAGAGAGTATTCTACTCATTAAGGTACAAAAACAGTAACACAAGCCATGTAACCATGTATTTGAACCTGATGCTCAGTATCCAAAAGCCTCTGTAGATACGTAGATCTTTTGTACATGACACTGTGCAGCATCCTATAATAATGAAATGAACTGTAAGAGTGTCAATGAACTTAATCATGATTAATCACAAATTGAAAATGTTCATATTGACTTTGTAAGATGTTTAAAATGTGCCACATTGAAACATAAAGAAAGCAGCTAGTAACATGTTGCAACACATCCCAAAGAGTTGATTTAGGATTTGAGGTGGCACATCACATTGTGAGTTGATGCAAACACAGGATCATTCAGACAAATATGTTCATACTTTGCACAATTTAAGCCAGATTTTGCCACACATGCCAACTTGAGTATCTTTACCCCAAGTTCACTACATGAGATATAAAAGACAACAAATGGCTTACCTAGTGCAACAACAGGTGCCTCTTTTTCATACTAGCATAGGTGTTCACTTCCTTTTCAAGTGACAGTTTTTAAGTAATGTCCCAATCAATGTATAAACTAATACAATGTGTTAACATTGACAGCTCTATACTGAACATATAATCAAATAAAGACAACCAAATTGCTTGTATTTTCGGTTCATATTTAGCACTTTTTGCAAATTGTGTACCAACTTGTCTTCAATAGAATTTGGTGCATTTGACGTGACTTTTAATTTTATATTTTTATTGTGTGTTTGTTTGTGTGTGCATGTGGGGTTGTGTAGAATCGTACTGAAGCTCGTAAAGTGATGCAGGGCAGAAACCCCCCTCAAAACTGCTCCCAGGCCTTCTCTAAGGATGGAGACCAGATCTTTACTAACCGCACTTACACTGCTGAGCAAACCAGAGCAAACTACCTGTCTGGAGATGTGGAGGAGGAGATCAGGTGAGTTTGTCAATGAGTGTGCAGGTGTGTGGTGACAAACCAGTCGGGGTGAGAAAGTAGACTTTTTGGTGTGTTTTAGCTTGTGAAAATGGAGAAAGTTGTCAGAGAAATCACATTATGTTTACATGTTTGAAGACATACAGGGTAAATGTAACAGGGTGTGGTTGTAGGCTGTTCTACTGTCCTGTTCAGTTCCCCCCTCGTGTCTCTCGTCCCCTCTTGCAGGCACTTGCAGCGGGAGATAGAGAACCAGATGGGTCAGGCTAACCGCTTCCAGCAGCAGATGAGAAGATTAGATGAGGACATCAAACAGAACGACGGGCTGCTGAAAAGGACCCACTTGGAGCAGAAGTCAACCAAAGTAAGACTTCTGACTTTTATTCTCAGATATAATAATGAGGCCTTCAAAGTGGAAAGTAAAACAATAAAATAAACTCTGTTGTAGCTTCCTCTCAACTTTCAGTTTAAAGTTTCTACTGTTTGCCTCAACATAAAAAAAACAGTTATTTTAAACATGCACAAATATACAATAGAATGATGACTTTTAATGTTGGAAAGGAGATGAACATAATGCCGCTGGATTGATATATATATATATATATATATATTTATTTATATCAGATTTCTAGTGTTTTACCCTGATTCTGTGAAAGACTTGCCCATGGAGAATGTGTGTATTCCTCTAGGACAAGGCCACAAAGCTACAGCTGGAGCTGACAGACCTGGAAAATGTGGAAGAGCCGCAGTCAGAGGACCTCAAGCCTTTGGTTTGTATAAAACACAAATGCATTACAGCAGCGAGACGTTTTTCAAAATCAGTGGATACAAGTTTAAGAGAAACTTTTGAGCATTGCCTGAAGAAATGTCTTAGGATAAATGCGAAATCTTCACCGATTTCACGTTGATGTCAGTATAATGTTTTCAGTCTTTGTGCTCCGTGTGATATGCTGCCGTCACCACTCTGCTACAGGAGGAAGAACTTCAGGAGATCGTTTCCAAGATCTCATCAAAGCGTGTGGAGTACGATGAAGCTCGGGCTCAGATGGCAGAGTTCAAGGCCTCCTATGAGAAGGCAGAGCAGGAGTACAAGCAGCACAAAGAACAGATCAACACAGTCGCTGAGGAGGCCGACTCGATAAAGGTAATAACTGTAATATAACCCCCTTTAATCAATGTTTTTGATAAGCACCCCTGGTATTCATTCTTTAAATTAATACTCATGGCTTTGAACTTGAATGAAAGTGTATTGAATATAGCTGCATATCCTCTAAATGCTCTTAATTTTACGTTCAGGAATAATGAAAATTACCAGCGTTTTAAAAACAACAACAACAAATCTAAGGTCATGTTTTCAACTCGAAGCAGCCCTAAGTGTAGAGATGGTTGAGTAATAAAGAGAGGAAGTGAAGAGAAAACAAAGATGTGAAACAGAAAAATTTTACTTTATTTTTTAAATATGTTTTGTGAAGGTTACACTCTACAGAACTTTTAAACGTGTCCACAGCTCCACACAAACATCCAGGAAGCAGCTGGATTGTGTGTCTAAGCAGCCTAAGTCACAGTTGATCTTATCTGCTGTGTGTGTCTCTGCGCTGCGTCCTTCACCTGCAGATCTTTTACAACTACAAGACAAATTCTCTGTTGCAGGTTGGAAAACAACAACATATTGTTATGATCCAGCATCACATTAAGTTGTTTTTAAGTTCCTTCAAAAAATAGCCCAATGTTGGCAATTTTTGCCAATGATTTCTTTTTTTGTTGCCATGGTTTAAAAAACGGTATCCATAATGTTTGATTTTTTTTTTTTTACTGGTATTGCATTCAAGTTTAAATGCCTGGTGTCATAACAACCCTATTGGCTCCTATTGCAGCCAATAGGGGACGAAAGTATTCTAAATTATTTCACATCGGTGCACTTTATTTATTTTTTTTAAATCATTTTAATGTCTTTCTGATCTAGAAACACAATCTGCTGCTTTAGTTCGGCTCACATTTAAAATACTTGCTGATTTCAGGCCAGGAGTCTTTTATTTGTCACTGTGTTTGTTCCATACACCGTGTCTGTTTAGATTTGGATTCCTGGTGGCTCAGGTACTTTGAGAGTAGATTAAAAATGATGAACCCTTAGGCCGTGTTTACACTTGACTTCTTTTTTCAGAAAAAAGTGCTGCTTTCCACGCCTTTTGAGCGCTTATGCGCGAGTGTTCTGTAACTTTAACAACGGGATCTAGTCTGCGGTGCAACCGCGCCGGAGCACAACGCATCAATTTAGCACCGAAAAGAATAAGCGGGACGGGAAGTCAGACACTGATACAACATTAAAACATCCGGTTTATTTTCAGACTAACACCCTCCGTTTTGATGGTTCAGAAAAACGACCGTTTGTGTGTTTGTTTATGTGTTTATAAGGTTTTTATTGAGTTTTATACCACAAACATCGTGTTATCTCGTGAGTGAATCTGTTAAATTACCACGGAAATTCCTTTGTCTCCGTACTCCAGCTGTCCGGCTGTGCTCTCCGTGCTGCAGACTGAGAACACAGCCGGTGGGTGTTGACGGATGAGGACGCACGGACCTGTAACAGACCGGAGTGGACACGCAATGCACATATATCTGGTGGAAGTTAGCCGTTTTTGGGCACAGGTAACTATGGACGTAGGTCACTACTCGTCCTGATTGGTCAGCTGTCAGAAAGGCGCTTGACGTCACTCAGCGCTTTTCTGAAAAGTTGAAATAATTCAGCTGAAAAAGGCGTCATACTTTTTCCATTTTCCATAGGCTTGTATGTAAAAAAAAAAAGGCGCTTGCAGTTGAAAAAAGAAGTCAAGTGTGCACACGGCCTAAGTAGCTCTATCTACCTCAAAGGTTGCCTACCCTCCCCTGAAGTTCGTGGTGTTTGTCTTTTTGTTTCATTACAGGAGGAGCTGAATAAAACAGATCAGGCGGTGATGAAGTGCAAGCATCACAAAAAACATTATGATGAAAAACGCAGTGACCATCTCCGTAGCATCCAGGCCCTCGAGGCCACCCTGGAGAGCAAGGAGCAGGAACTTCAGGTGAGTCAAACAAAAACAAGGTGCAGGTATTTTGAAAGTTTCAGTTACCATGAAATGTTAAAGGTTATAGACTGTTTGGGTTGTAGTGTTTCTGCATTGTGTCTCAGAAATTGATATGTTGTTTGCTTTTTTGTTTTGTTTTACATGCTGTTCAGACATCTGTTGCCAAGGCAACCGAAATCTCTCCAGAGCGTCTGGAAGTACGACGGGTACCCAGGAGTCTGGACAGTGAGATCAGCCGCCTCAAAGCTAAGATAGCAACACAGCAGGAGCAGCAGGGGGACCGAGAGGAGGTTATAAGGTACGAGGACCCTTGAATCAGACAAGAATGGAATCATTAGAATGGGTTGTCAACTTCATATACTGTAGGCACAAACATTTTCTTCACCGGTTTAAGTCCCTGTATACATATTTTTTAGTATTAAAGTAAGTACAGCAAACAAGCTAACAGTTAATTAAATGTGCATCTTTCTCTGTTTTACCTTATTCCAATGGTCTATCTTTCCCACACCCAGGCAGTATAAAGAGGCTTTGGATAACTACAACAAGATGGCTCAGCAAATGAAACACCTGAACAGCTTCATCAAATGTCTGGACAATGTCATGAACCACAGACTCCAGGTTTACTCTGAGCTCAGAAGGTTAGTTTTGGAATAAATGGCTTTTATAGTGCAGTTTGTTGTAAAGGAATTCTTAACTCAGAACTATTTCTCCCAAAGCTACAACAAATAAGAAAAGGTGACACCTAGTGGCTCTTTCTGTATTGCTCCATGTATTGCGGCTCTTTCATCCTGTATTCCACACCCTCTTGATCCTTCTGTGCGTCTCTCTGTATTTTAGATTCCTCTCTGCCCGCTGTAAATACTACTTTAACAGCACACTGCTCCAGAGAGGCTTCACTGGAAGTATGACCTTTGACCACAAGAATGAAACCCTCTCCATCTCGGTAAGTCGGTCTTTCATGGAATTTTCTAGTGCATGACTGGTACAGCTTTTTATACAGGTGATATAAAGATATACGCCGAATTCAAAGGAAACTTGTACTAAACAGACTTGTTTCCCCTCCTCTGCAGGTGCAGCCTGGTCAGGGAAACAAGGCTGACTTGAGCGACATGCGCACGCTGTCCGGAGGCGAGCGCTCCTTCTCCACAGTCTGCTTCGTCCTCTCTCTGTGGGCTATCACAGAGGCGCCTTTCCGCTGCCTTGACGAGTTTGATGTTTACATGGTAATAAGAACATGCTTCTTTTGATGTGTATGCTACCTTGCTTTTAAACACAGATTATTGCTTAAGATTTATGTAATTAGTGACCGAGCGAAGTAAACCAAGCACGCAAGTGTATTGTATTTTTTCATGCATGCACATTTTAACTACCACTCTCACACATTACTCTTGTTGAAGGAGGTCGGTTATGTGGCTTTGAAAGTGACCAGTCATTTGCATCAAAGGTTTCCCGACCCAAAATATTTCAAATGTCAGGTCAACTTGTGCGAGCAGATATCAACTTTGTCCGCTCGCTGTTTATTCTGTACATGCAGGCGCCTTTTTTTTTTGGCCTCTCCCCCCGGTTTAGTTTCATGCTCCCATGCAGGTCCAAATCTGAGATCTCCTGTTTTTTGTAGTGTAAAACAGGCATTGACAGGCAGTGGGAAAGTTATGCAAGGTTGCTGAAATGACAAGTCAAAAGGAAACTGTCTCACTCTGTTTGAACCTTTTTTTTATTATTATTTCTAGAGTTTATATGAATGTTTTGTTTCTTTTATCAGGACATGGTGAACAGGAGGATATCGATGGACATGCTGCTGAAGGTTGCTGCTGGTCAGCGTTACAGACAGTTCATTTTCCTCACTCCGCAGAGCATGGGGTAATCACAGTACAATCTGTCATTGTTTGTGTGTTTATTCTACAGAGCAGTGAGACCACCCAGATGTGATTTATTGATTTAGTTGCTGTATATTGTCTCAGTAAATGAGCTGTAATGAAGAAATCTGTTTGGGAGTAAAGTGTTTGTGATTTTAGCACGCTGCTTATTTTCCTGAGAAAGAGCTCTAGCCACATAACCTCAAAGGCACAGTCCTGTTTTCATGTTTGTTGCCTCTTTTTTTCCCCCCAGTTCTCTTCCTGTGAGTAAAATCATCCGCATCCTCCGTCTCAAAGATCCTGATCGGGGCAATAACGACGCACAAAACGGGCAAGAGGAGGACCAGTAGTGTTGCTTCAGGTTCATTTAACATCACGTGAGCTAACACGACTCTTGACGGGCACCAGGACGGCCTGCATGAGAACAAGACCCTCGTCCTTTGGGGAACACTTGTGAATGTCATGGAAGTTCAGCCATATTGTTCTTAACTCATCAAGGTTTTCTGCTTTGAGAAGGATTCCGTTTTTTTAAAGCAGGGAAAAAAAGTACAAATACAAAGTTACAGGCACTGTTATATTAGGGAGATTTTATATCCACTGCAAAAACATGTTAAATGGTTTGAACATACAAGCAATTCATGTTTAAAATGTTTGTAAAATGTCTTGTTCATTAAACTAAAAAGTGAAAGTAAAGTGCTTCAGGGTTTTTTTTATGCTTGGGATCTTTTCAGGTTTAATGTGAAGAACACAGTAAACATGTAACCTTTATGTTCTCATTTAAATCTGTTATTTATTAGATAAAAGTCTACAAGCTGCTTTTCAAACATTCAACCTGAATCCCTGAGACGTGTTGAGGTCAGTCTTGTGAGGAGGAAGGGATTTGCACCTTTAAGGGCTCCAAGCCAAATCCTGCACACAAGGCGGACCACTGGAATGCACTTCCACTCATGCACATAACGTCTGCTGACAACATACCTGACCTCCTTAGGAAAGTGGTACTTTTTGTGTTTTTTTTTTTTTTTTTTTTTTTTCTTACATCCCCGAGAGCGTCTCAACAAGCTGAAAACATGAAGCCCAAATCTCTTCCATCAACGTTGTTCAGCTTGAATTCAGCAACGGTGGAGACTCTACACATACGAACAGCAAAATATGAGCGACATGTGGACTGTGTGGATCACTGGGACAGCCAGCCAGTGGAAGACGACCATACACAAAATGAGAAGTGCCGCAGAGATATTCATTTTGCATTTCTGCCGGAGCGATATGAGGCACTGATAGATGACGACGCGCACGCCAAGGCAAAAGAAGAGAAGAAGAAGAGGAAGAAAGAAAAGTACAAGAAAGTGAAGAAGGTTGGTGTTCGTAATTTTCTCCAGTGATTTTGCAGATGCAGTGTCTGACTGGTGCTATAGTAAGCAGTATTTATCCAGACAAATAAAAATGTCACTTCAATGATCTAAATTATCCAACCTATAAAAGAAGTTAATGCAGAGTTTTACATTAATTCATTACTAATCACTTTGACCCTTTAAATCAAGGCTAAGATTTGTGATTATGGAGAGAAAAAAGTGAAAAAATAATAATACTTCAAACTGAACTGTGCAAAGCTTTAATATTCATAAATCACTGCAATTTGATAAGCTGAAATCAAATATTCAATAACAGTTCAGACCCCAAAATGCAGAAGAGATCACAAAGTATCACAGCTGGACGACTTGGCCCATATAATGAACCCACTGAGGATTATGCCAGAGATTACTCGTACTAAAGAGCTTTGAAGCTTCATATATGTCACTTATGTGGCCTTACTTCTGATGCTACAAGGTGAGAAGACAAACTGAGGTCAGGACTTGTTGTTTAGAGGTCTTATCCTCCACAGTGAGTGACTATATAGCTTTTGCAGTTCTTTTATTAATGGAGGAATACACTTGTCTGTGTGGAGATAACATGACCAGGTCATCTACTTTGACAGCATCAGTGGTGGCTTAACTGGATGATCCTCACTCACTCATCGTCCTCAATCAGCCTGACACAAATTATTTGAATTCATCTGTGATCATTTAAAAATCAAAGCCAGTAAGCTACTTAATCTTTAACAAATGAGTTAACGTAAATCATTTCAACTAGTGGAAATTGTAGCTTTGTATAAACTAAAGTCGAAATGTTTAGAGAGTGATCATGTTTACCTTCTAAATCATGCCAACAGCACTTTCACAACAGTCAGTCTTTTCAACGAGAAGGAAAAGACAGACTGGAGAGACTTGAACTGTTTGAGTGCTTTTTATGTGTGAGATACAAGGAGTTGGTTTTTACGGAACCTGATCCCATCAGATATTATAATTCAAGTTTATCGGTGACTTATTATTACTCTGTTTATTCTGAGCAGTACAGTAGAGACTCTTATCAGTATTTTATGGCCAACATAAATCTTTTAAAACACGCTGAGGAATATCACAAACGCCTATTTTTAAGTCTTGAGCTATAATTATGATTTATAATCTACAAGGAACATTTATGAAGAGGATGGCTCAGTAATTATTCACAAATTTAAAGGTTGGTAATGAGTCAGCAGAACCTTTTTTTTTCTTTTCGCTTTCAGAAAGTTGGATTGTTTTTGTTATATTTTTCCACATCATCTAACTCCCTGCATCCGCTTCAGCAGGTCAGCCCTTTCCTGTTCCAAGAGGAAGGCAGACAATAGTGTTCAGGAGGCTTTTTGTTTATGTTTGAGGGTTAAATACAAACTGTACCTCTCCTCCTGGGGTGCTATTGTTCTTAAACTCCACATGAAGGCTTTTATTTTGATTGATTCTAGCTTATTTCATATCCAGGATTCATCCCTGCATTTGTATAACCTAATTATGTCTAAATCACAGAGATTACTTTCTTGCACAACCTACACTCTGAATAAGGTGGGCATCAAAAAAATGATTATGACATGAGGGAGTGGAAGAGCAACAATCACATTTTTGGCAAAACACACTCTATAATAAGACTTCTAAGGTCTGAATCTATAATATGATTCACATGAATTGACCATGATTGGCGTTTCTGTTCTAATTGCGTTTCTGGATGAGTGATCAAACTTTGGGCTGTTTATTTCTTTTCCAGAATGTTGGCAAGGCAATGCGAGCCACTTGGAAGTGTCTGATGCTCGGCCTGTACAATTTTGCCCTCGGCTACTCCACGCCAATCACAGTGGCTGCTACGTTTGTCCCCGATTTTCACCCGGGCAGGAGCACAAACTGAGCCGAGGCACGTGCAACTCCTCTCATCTCTTTGCAAACTGAACTGGACATTTCATTAAACCCACAGACACAGACCAAAGGTTTTTAATATGTTTATAATGTTAGTATGTTTGAAATACTTCTTTTTTTTTACACAAACTTTGCACAAAAAGTCAAAATATCTTTGTTATCTTGTAAAAAAAAGTGTTTAAAAAAAAATTCAAAGTGTTGAATTTATCCCTTTTTATATCAGACCCTTTTCACTACAGTCGTTTTGACACGTGCGCTTTTCTTACTTTGATGTTCTGCTGATTATTCATTAATTCATTTTCCATTGATTGGACATAGTGTATGCTTTGTATCCCAATTTATGTTACATGATATGCTCAGTTAAGATCACAAAACGAATGACTATAATTACTTTTCTAGTCACATAATGCATTGAATGGTAATAATGTATAGCTGGTGTTTGTATGTGTTCAGAGGGATAGTGTGGAAGCTGGAGAAGGACGGGATAATTACAAAGTGAACCTATAGAGGATGTACTTCTTTAATGAAGAGACAGAACAGATAAGTGATTAATGGGTCAATGGGTGTTATTAATAACACGTTCACAGTGAAGAAGGAACCGAGCCTCTCAGATTGGAACATGATGCTGTGACGTTAAGGTAGTCCAAAACCTGTGTGTGTGTGTGTGTGTGTGTGTGTGAGAGAGAGTTTGTTTTGAAGGTTAAATTTTGATATTTGTGAATAAATTTTGCACCAAAACTTAGTCATTTCTTTTGTTTGATGTATTTTCTACAATAATGGATCCTGTGTAAATTGCCGAGTGGTACAAATATGACTGGGTTTGTTCAAAGGATCGTTGTAAGAAAGAATATAACATGATACCTAAATAAAGGAATGGAGATAAACCTTGAATGAGAAAGAAGTTTAGTGATTTGTAAATGTTCCAAGTGCTTTAAATTTCATCCATTCTTAAATGTTATAACTGCTAAAGATATGAAATAGCTATCAACACAAGGAAATCTGACACAATAACATATTATCTATGTATGATATACTTGGCTTAAGCCCACACTCTGTTAAACTTTATTCTGATATTAGTACAAGCAATGTTTGAGGGTATAATACAACAGGCTAAAATGTAGAGTCTGTGGTAAAGGATGTGTGTTGAATTAAAATAAACAAATGATACAAGTTATTGTAATATCAAAATAGTAAACATTTTATAAAAGATAAATAAAGAACTGAATATTAAGATGATTCAATGTTTTGATATGCATGAATGATGGAGGAATCGTTGGATTTTTTTAGGAGTTGCACATAATCAGGAGCTATTGCTGCTCTTGTGTAAGCAGTCATAATAGGACATTGTTTTCAGGAAAATTTCAAAGAAAGCAATAATATAATGACACATGATTTTGAATACAATAAAGACACATAGGCTTATAAAAGCACGTATTCATTGCCAATTCATTAAAACTTAATAAGATCAGATAAAAAGTCTGTACAATAAGTGAAGGGTCTATATTCAATCTATTTTTGTTTACTATTGAGATCATCTTTTTGAGAGAGTGTTATTGTTCTTGTTGTTTTGTCAAACCATAGACCAGGGACGGGCAACTTTGGTCACAGCACGGGCCACATTCATTTAATTCTCACTGCCAGAGGGCCAAATTGTAGGATACAAAAAATGACTACAGTCAATTATGTCTGAAATTTACCTCAACATATACTGTATACCAGTGATCAAATATTATTAAGATTAAGATTTACTTTTATTGATCCCTGCAAGGGGAAATTTCAGTTTTTACACTCTGTTTGATCATGCAACACACACTTAGGCTGAAATATATACACATGCAGAAACAGGATCCTATGGACAGAGTGACAGAGCAGCCCACAGCGGGTGCTCCTGAGCTGGTGGTCAGCTGCCTTGCTCAAGGGCACCTTGGCAGTGCTCAGGAGGTGATGTGGCACCTCTCCAGCTACCAGACCAACTTCCATATTTGGTCTGCACTGGGACTTGAACCTGCAACCCTCCGGTTCCCAACCCAGGTCCTACAGACTGAGCTACGGCCACCCACATGGCCAATATGGACATATTTCTGATTTCATGGCAGATTTTGTCATGTTTTCTTCATGTTTTGATATATAAAAATTGATCTGAGGGCCACATTGAGGGTTGAGAGGGCCGCATGTGGCCCCCGGGCCGCCAATTGCCCACCCCTGCCATAGACTGTACTAAAAAAAAAAAAAAATGTATTCTATGTGTAAAACTGATACAATCCAGTGGGTGGCGGCAATGTAACCACTCTGGATATCAATCGCCTTAAAAGTCAAGAGAAGAAGAATAACAAGTTGCCTCTGTGACGTTTTTCTGTGTTTCTTCCGGGTAGACTTGTTTACAGTACAACATTAGACGAAACGAGCTTTGTGAATATGACGGACCAGAAAGCTGATAATATCACCTCTATCCCCATCGATGAGTTCAGCAATTTAAGAATTACGTCGATATGGACTTTCCTCATGTCTGTAAGTTCAATTGTACTTCCTGACTCAAAGTGCTAGCTGTGAGCTAACAGTTGCTATCACGGAATAATAGACCCACGTTGTCTTTAATGAACCATTATTTAAAGACTGTGTGTGTGTGTGTGTGTGTGTCCTCAGGTGCAGTGGTCGGAGCCTTGGCTCATCGGGATGTTGGTGTTTCATGTTGTGTGTTTGTTCCTGACTGTGTTGACCTGCAGGTATTACAAAGCTCAGATATGTCTCTTCATGCTCATGGGTAAGTTAAAGACAAAAAAACTACTATTATTATTATTATTATTATGTCCCTTAAGGAGAACTAATGATTTAATAGCATGTCATACTTAAACACACATTTTGAAATAAATGATGTACAGCACTGTGTCAAAACTCTTTGAACTGCTGTGTTTTTAGGCATTTCTGTAATTTTACCCTGAATTTAATGACAACAGGGCCTAGAACAGGGGTGGGCAACTGGCGGCCCGGGGGCCACATGCACCCCCCCCCCATCAACCCTCAATGTGGCCCTCAGGTCAATTTTTACATATCCATGAATTGAAAACGTGACAAAATCTGCCATGAAATCACGAAAACCAGAAACACGTCCATAATAATATTTGATCACTGGCATATGTTGAGTTAAATTTGAGACATAATTGTTTTTATTTTTTTATTTTTTTTAGAATTGATTCATAATTGATCGTTTTTGTATACTACAATTTGGCCCTTTGGCGGGGAGAATTAATTGAATGTGGCCCTTGCCGTGACCAAAGTTGCCCATCCCTGGCCTAGAATATTATTATACTAGATAAGCATATACTATCACAATTGAGCTAAAACGCGGTGTACATGTGGTTTTAAGTTAATCCTAATATAGACAGAAACGTCCCTTTAGTGGGTGCTGGATCCAGAAATGTTGTAAAGAAGCACAAAGAAGGAGCTCCCGTTAAAGGATTTATTTAGAAACAAGTGACGTTTTGAGCTGACGTGCTCTTCCTCAGACTCGTAGTAGGTGTCTGAAGAAGCGTCACTTGTTGCTAAGTTAATACTATGAAACACATTTATCTACTCTCTATATAATCTGCCATGTGTTGCTTTGATCTGGGTAATCAAAAAGCCACTACATTGGTTTTTTTATTCAAAATTAATCCAACATACTCAGTTGATTTTTTTCCCCAACTTTTACTTTCCTTTTTTATCGTTTGTGTCCGTTTTATAATCCAAAAGTTCTCCCATAATATATAAAATCCTCCTGGGTTCAATAGTTTTATTCTATTGTAATTCACGTAAACACACCTACCTTTGTGTTGGCAGTAAAAACGGACTTTTGAGAGATACTTACTTCATAACCATCAACAGTGTCAGTAAATCTCATATCTCTTCCACGGATATGTTAATTGATATTAAGATCAAATAACCTGATGATGACATGTTGAAAGTAAGTTGTGAAGTTAGTAAAGTGGGGATATAAACTTGGTTCTTATGTGAATACATATCATGAGTCTGCTTTTCCTCTTTCACAGCTGGCCTTGTGTATAGTGCTGAATATCTAAATGAGTTTGCTGCCATGAACTGGAGGTAAGACCGATACTCAGAAGGTTTTTGTTTTGTTTCTTCTATGTCTGAAATTGTGTTTGTGTGTGTGTTGGGGCTTTGTTTTTTAAAGTACACATACAGTAGTTCAGAAACTTGTCAAGACTTTTTTTTTTTTTTTTTTTTTGCAGGTCCTTTTCTAATTTCCAGTACTTTGATTCCAAGGGAATGTTCATATCTTTGGTCTACTCTATTCCTCTTCTGCTAAACACGGTCATTATTGTGGTAAGATAATCCTCATCATTGCCAAAGCAAATCCAGTGTTAGAATCACCACCAGACACCGGTTCTCATGAATGCTTGTGTTGCACTTTGACAGATGGTGTGGGTGTACAGGACCTTTTCAACTATGACTGAACTTAAAACACTCCAGCTCAAGCGAAAGGCCCGCAGAGAGAAGAGAGAGAAGACTGACTGATCTCCCGACTTGTATCCAAACATGGGCCTCATTTGGAGGAATTAAGAAAAAGAAGCGTCTCTGCCATGCTAATCCTGAATTTTGGAATAGGAAGACAGATTCCTTCTTGTGACTGTAACAGGATTTATCATTGATGTTGGTCAGGACTGGTTAAGAAAGAGGCTGCTGAATAATCTGTACATTATGAGATTTACAAGGACCAAAGGACAGTTACTGTTTTGTATATAATGTTTTGAAGTGTTTGAAATGACACAACAAAAATTAAAATGTTTTTGACCGACCTGTGTTTGACTGCTAATTTCAGGGTTCTTTGCATTGGTAAGATGTACGAGTTTAAAGAGCACTCGTTTGACCTTTTTTAAAGGGTTAAGTGTAATTGATTTTAAACAACCTTTATACCACAGGCGGTTTTTATGTCTCTCTCCTTATTTATGTAGGGAAGGCCACTCTGGGTTAAGCATAATTCTCTTCCTGTTCATTAATCCATTCCCTCAGACTATGGGAGGACATGCTCACATAAATAATGTTGATGTAAAGTAGGGGAAAGTCACAAGGCATTAGCTCTATTCAACAGGCTACTGCGGGCCGGACTCACATCAAATGAAGTGGTTTCTATACCAGCCGAGGTGGCTTTGAATCATAGAATCAGTCAAACTTGTCTGACAGCTCCCCCACACTGGATTGGGGGGTGGGGGGGTTGCAGGGGGAGTGTAAGGTCTTGTGACCTGTCAGTGTGACTGCACGAGGGGCGGGGGTGGTTAATTCATGATATTCCACTGCGCTCTTCAAGAGAAGGCCCTTTTCACTCAACCTTTTAACTTTTTTTTTTTTAGTGTTTGTTTTTAATGGCTCTAAGTGGCAGGTTTGCTCAGTAAGCCCAGCACTGCTACATTGAAGTAGCATTACCAAAACCCTCAAACTGAAGCAGCTTAACCGAATTCCACCACCATTATTGTCAGTCACACCTATACTTTTCTACAGTGAAATGTCTCTATAGGGCTCTTCTCAGCCACAGTGTTGCACTCACACTTATCCCATACAAGGTAAATGCTCAGGAAGGAAAGTTGTATCTTTTTAGTTAAGATTAAAGACACATCCTTCAATCCAGCTTTCAGCCACGTACTCCTCTAAACTTACAACTAGAGCTGCAGGGATTCAGCCATTACTGATTTACTTTTAGATTGGCTTAAATTGTCAATGTAATGGAGAAGGAGAAAGAGCAAGAGTTCTCTGATTCCTTTTCAATTATGTGAATACTTCGGACATTAAACTTAAAATCTTCTGGTATCAGGAAAAGGTTAATGTTAAGTTCTCTTGGGCTTTGCGACACACTGAGCAACACTTTTTGCTAATTTTGGACATTACACATATACACCCAACAAAACAATAGATTTTTTGTTGTTGTTAAAACGTCTTACACACTTCACTGTGAGAATCCTGACAGTACTAGCTGCTTTTGTAACTTGAATTGATTTGAATTGTTATTCTTCATAAATAGATGTAGAAAATGTCATAAACACACATTGACGCAAAGTAAAATAATGGTTAAAAAGAATGATAAGAGGTACCAAAACAATCACTCGGAAACAAAATCTGCTTTTAGACAATATACACTAAAAGTCAATATTTTTAGTCAAGTTATTTTTAAATGTAGTTTCATGTGGAAACACAACATCAAATGTAGCTGTCAATGCTGTAAAGTCTTGACTTTATATGAGAGCTATGAGGTCCTCGGGATGTTGTTGTCCCACTAGAGGGCAGTCTGGATTAAACAACATAAAATAAATCCTGCTGTCCAGAAGATTCTTTTGCAGACTTTTCCTCAGCTCACACTCCATTTCTCACTTTATGTCTCTGCAGAGCTGACAGGATGTCTTAGCTCGTCCTATCTGTTGTGTTGACCGTATTTATATCACTCCTTATTTGTTTTCCCAAATGCATGTGATGTATGTGGGTAAGCTTCGCCTGCATTCATCTGTCAGGATCTATTACGTGTTGGCATGATGAGTGACTGGATTGCAGACATAAGCACAAGTTATCTGAAAGGAAACAGCTGTGAAGCGTTCTCAGAGGGAGATGAAGTATTAGAGGCGAAACTGACCTCTTTTTGGTGAACAAGGCATTGTGTTGCACACACATTCATTCGGTAGATCGCAACCTCTCCAGGTCACAGTGATGTCCAGATGAAAGATTTAATGGTAAATAAGAGAAGCTTAGTGTGCAAAGTTTGCAGTCTGGACACTATCATCTGTTTAAATCTTCTGGTCTGATTGGTGTGAGAATTGAAGCCAAATTCACCAGTTCATTTATCCCAGATACTTCTGCTTTCCTCATACACAACAATATGTTGCACAACATCCAGCCAACTGCAGTCCTGTGAGTAGGAACACTTTGGTTAAAAAAAAAAAAAAGGGAAACAGTTTATGGGACTAAAATCATCAGACACTGTTGTAAAGGGCAACTCATGCCATTGAGAGTTGTGAAATAATATGAAATGTATGCACAGAAACTAACAAACAGGTTTATAAAGAATGATAATCATCTCAACACATGTAACACATAGGATTCTTGCAGAAAAATATACCATTGAGGGACTTAGGCATGCCAAATGATTGTCGTTTTGTAAAGTAAAGTGTCTACATTGTTAGAAATACTACAACAATCATGGTAGCATGTTTTAATAATAGCACAACAATAAAGCACAAAGCTAACCCATCACAACTAATTCTCCCCTTTTATTTCCATATAAGTACCTCTCAGATGTTATTACCAAAGCATTGGAGTTATACTTTCAGACACTTAGTTTATACGATTGCCTAACTGTCAAGAACTCAACCTAAAATAATGTTCAATAGAGTTTAACCGTGCCTTGACAGCCAAGTGTGTTGCTAAATAACTAATTGATGTTGCAACATTTTGCAGAAGTCTGTAAACATGTGTTTGAGAGTAAAACTTGGTTCCACATTAAGTATGTCAAAAAAGCAATGGAAACCATCTGATGAATCCTAAATTTGTAGTTCCCACAGAGGCCTCTTGGGGCTGGCTCCAAAAGTGAGTCAATCCCATAGTGGCCCATACTAAAATGCCCCACTTTATACAGCAGAAATAAATAGCCTGGTGCAACACATTTTGGTGTTTTTGGAAAATTGCTTATTCACTGAAACTTAACAGGGGATGAAGCCTAAATTATGTCATGCATGTCTAAATGTGTGGCTACTTTGAGTGACAGGTGGGTGCTGCTAGCTGTGTGCTAGGCTTCATTTCAGATTCTAATTTTTTAAATATTTGACTAGCTGTGCTGTTACATTTTTTTAGTATTATTTTTTTTATTCCAGCTAATTTTCATGTGTTATGTCTGTGCTCATATAACCTCCCTGCTAGCTTAGCTTCTTCTATAACTAAACCGGCATTCTACTTTAATGTTGTATCAGATTTTACATTTCAGGCATCTCTTTATGGTTTTGAAATGAGTTTTATAAGAGATGACAGGGGATATTTTCATAAATATGTGTGCTGTATAGGTATATACAAAGTTTTTTTTTCCATCACTCATTACATAGACTGTAAACTTTTTAATGCAAACATTACAACTCAAACAGGCTGTTCAAGTTTTTGCAGGCCAACACCTGTGTCCACCCTCACAGCTTATAAATGTCTGGCTTGTGTCCATAGCTCCACAAACAACCGGGAGTGAAGCTTCTCCATCAGGTTCAAATGCAGATAATGCCCACATAGTTAAGACATCAGGCTTTTAACGGACTTTAAGAGGATGTTTTTGATCGTGTTAAAAGTCCGGCTAACAGGCTAATCCTGAAAAGTAATCTTTAATGCCTATGGTATCATATGAAAAAGCAGATGTTGTGGTCAGGTCCAGACTCAACCACGGGTGATTGAATTTTACATCTCGAGCAAAGAAAGGAAATGAGCTCAAATGATGACAGTGTTTGTGCCGTCTGTCACCGTGTTCTCTCTCACCGTTACTGTACAGTTTATGTTGGCTCCAGCCGTGCTTCAACATCTGCAGTTGTATAATTGACTGGTTAAGACGTTTGACTGGGACTCTTGTGTTTATTACAATGTTATGCTCATTAAGAGCAGTTTTAACCACTCTTCCATTAATCTTGTACTGCAGCTGAGTTTACATTCCTTAACTACGCTTTATTCTGTACTGGATCTGGTAGCGTTTCATTTTTACAGTCATGAATGGTACTTAAAACAACATGAGTGGTTTTGTGAGCTGGACCAAAAAGTTTGATATATTTTTAAAGTAACATGAATACTATTTTAGTGGTTTCATTTAACAACTCCTCATATGCAAATATGAAATTAAATGACTGATAATTGACTACAACAGCTTGAATCATATATGCTTACAATTTTTTTTTTTTTTTTTTTTTCAATAAATCTACCAAAATGTTTCCTCTCGTAGCCTTTTGCCTCACCAGGCAGCTGTTTTTGAAAAGCAAACTTTACTTGAACATTTGTTACATTGTTTTGACATAAATTGGAATTGTTTCCCTATTAACTAAATATTTATTACAGGAGATTAACTTGATTTAAAGCTGATTAAAGACATCCCCCTCCATCTTCCACATATGGTATTTAATAATTGTATTTGATTTTGGCACTTCTGAATGTTAAATGAAGGGAAGGAATTTCCAATACACTATCACATTGTCACTGTGAGTATCAAACACAGCATACATTCACCTGGTGGTGGTTTCTTATGGCGGCATGTCTCAGCTTGTTGAGTCACAGTGTGACTGGGCATGCTCTGTAATGCAATAAGAGACACGGGAGGGGGGAGATGGAAAAGTGGAGTAAGTGAGAGTGACAGATGACTCACTCAGTGTGTGCTTGTGAATGACTCACTGTGATATACATGATTACATAGATATATTTAATAAGACACATTCTGCAATCTACAGAGGTTTAAGTCTCGCAATGTCTGATATGGATTAGCGTTAAACAATCTATCACTACAGTTGAATACATTTTTTATTTATAAAGAAGAAAATGTGACTGCACAACATTAATTTGATATTCATCAATGTATTGAATGCTTAATCAAATACAGCATGTCTCCAGGATACAGAGGGCTGAACTCAGTGACTCACCCTCAGTCTCACTCAGTGAGTCATCGATCAACCTGTATCAATTACTGCAGGATGCTCCAGATAGACGATGATCCCAATCTTACATTATTTTCTGCTTTTGCAGAAGCCACTGAAACATTTCAACATTTTTATTGCAACATGGCAACAAGGATTATACATCAGTT